CTCACTGGCTGAGCGAGGTGCGGGCGCAACACCAAGGGTTGCGATTCTGTTGCCGGTCCCGGTCCGGTACGGGTGCAACACTGAGGGTTGCGATCCATTGATCTGTTGCCGGTCACGAAAAAAGACAAAAAGGAAAAAAAAAAAGTTCATGGAAAGATTCATATTATCATTTAACTCTATTTATCCATGAACTTTTTGAAGTACCCTCAATATATACATAACCAAAACAAATTTCACAAAACTATACTCATTTTACCTAACTTCAATACAATCTGATATTTACTCTCTGGATCTGATTGACTCTATTCTATCCTACTTCATTAAAAAAATATATTGCAGGTTGTGGGGAAAATAGAATAGTTTAGTCAGGCTCCCTCGACTTTGGGCCGGTTGGGAGTCATGCAGAACATTTCTTGTAAACAAGTTGTGTGTGGGTAGAGTTATTGCACATGTGCACTTATGCATCTTTTTAGTTTATTGCTATTGTGTGTTCTCCAGTTTGTGAAGCAGAAGCTGGCTGGCACAGCTCATGTCTAAAAATAGAGCATGTTTACTCTGCTGGAAGCTGCTCAGTTTTTCTTTGGACTTTGCCAGTAGCAGTTGAATTTCTGAGTTTCTCTTTGTACTGCCTAGCTCTTAGATGTGTGTGTCCCAAATAAAGACTATTCCTACTTCAACCAAAGCTACAAGGACCTTTTTGCTGGTTACCTAGCTCATAGACCTGTGTGTGAAGGTTTTGTGAATTGGCTCAAATGGTCTGTGAGCTCCAGACCCAGCCCTAGCTCTACACAGGTTTTGACCCACTAAATTTGCTTTAAGTTCTACTAACGTATGGGGGATAAAACTGCAGTTTGACGAACACAGGCCTATTTAATAAACTGTGTTGTGTATCTTATGTATCTATCTTTATAGGCACATGTTTTATGAGAAGATGGGAGTGGGGAGGCTAAGGAAAGTCTACTTATAAACCAGTACTTCTCATATTTTAATGTACAAAAGAATCATCTGCAGATCTTATTAAAAAATTTAGTAGGTCTGGGGTAGGTACCTCAGATTCTGCATTTCTTACTACCTCTCGGGTGATGCTGATGCAGCTGATCTATGGCCCACTATTTGAGTAGCAAAGTTCTAAAAATCACAGTTGTGAGTAGGTGTATTAAACTGGTAAGATGAGACTTGGATGGAGTTTTCTAGGAGAGAATGCCCTCTAAGGAAAGAGAAATAAAGCGAACAAGGTACTGACAGAAGTGTGTGTGTCACTCAGATTTTACCCCAGCCTCCCATATCTTGATCAGGTGAAGAGATGACTATACGCAAAAAGACAAATCAACAAACAAAGAAAGGATTGTTTTACTACAAAAACAATCTGAAATCCCTCAGGAGCATCACTGAGTTGTTATCCTATTGGGTAAGTATAACTTTTTAGAAAAAATTATTTGTTTATTTATTTATTATGAATATTTATGAGATACAAAACTAATTGTCACCCGTCGTGCCCATGATGTGAGGGCCAGATTCATACTGCGGGCATACCCACTACAAGAAATCACTTTTGTACCCCGTGTCCCCCACCCAATTATCCCCCAACCTCCCTCCCCCTCCCTCTTTCCACTGCACTATTGTGGTCTTTCTTTCCTTCCTTCCTTTCTCTCTTAGCTCCCACATATGAGTGAGCACATGCAGTATTTATCCCTCTGTGCTTTGCTTATTTCACTCAACATAAGTTTCTCCAGGTTCATCCATGTTGCTGCAAATGGAAGTATTTCATTCTTTTTTATGGCAGGTAAGTATAACTCTAAAGTGAGGAAAAGAACTTTATGCACACATCTATAGGTGAGATGGGGTGGGGTGGGCTTGGATCACTGGGTACTCCAGGGAAATCAATTGGGCTTTGTCATCTTGAGGATTCCAACCCATCAGCAGCAGTGGGAACCTTAGGAGGATGCAGGACTTATGAGAAGGAGCACAGTGCCCAGCAGACATATTACCCAGCAGAGGATGGCACCCACCTTTGAGATTCCTGGACATATTCCTGGGTACAGGTAAGATGTACCCCAGTCCTCTTCCAAGTGATTGATGGGATCTTGGTTCTGCTACTGTGGGGGAGAAGGCAGAAGCCAAACCAACACACTTCACATACTCTGTACCTCATCTAATCCACTCAGTACTGTGGGAATGCAAGTTTCATCCTTATTTGACAGATGACAAGACTGTCCCTTAAAGCAATGAATCTGCAATAACCTCAGGTTGATTCCTCCAGATAAGTCCCAGAGCTAATGATTTACCTAATATTTTAAGTTCTGACAACAAGAATTTTAAGTGTCTCCACAGCTTCCATAATCTCACTAAACAGTTCTTTCATTGTTTTTTTTTTTTTTTTGTACTCTTTTCTGATTTTTTAATATTTTATTTTTTGTGTGAAAAAAGTGATATGTGTTTTTTAGGAAAAAATAAAAAGATGAGTAGAAAGAAAGAAAACAAAGAAATGAAGTCACCCACAGTCTCACAACTCAGAAAACCACTGTTAACCTTTTAGTAAACAAAAGTTTCTACTTTTCCTGTGCATAAATATACTACATAAATTTGTTTGTTACAAAAACAAACCAGTTCTGTAGATATTATATGCTGCTTTATTTTTCCAAGAATCATAAAGTCTTTGCAATGTACATGGGTGATAATCCTCTATTGAAACATACTGGTAACAGGAGACAGCTAAAGCAAAATTATAGAGCAAGGGCCTGGAAAATGCTGGCCAGGGGCACTATACATAAGGAATGTCTTCAGTGTCCCTTCGTGGGGCCCTGCAGCCACCCCTGAATTCCCTTGGGCCCCTCGGGTAGAAGGGGTCTTGTAAATTTCTTTGCATCCACAAAAACGCCCCCAACTTCTGTTTGCTTTTTCTCGTTTTAGCCTCCGCCTTAGCCATATTGTCAAATTCTCTTATCATATCATCATTGCTGAAATTCATATCATGTATGGCCTCTTTATACTGCTTGAGGTACTGGGCCAGCCCCTTGTCGGTTTTTCTTTTGGCTTTCCTAGGTATATCATCCTCAGGTGGGCGCTTTTCTGCGGCCCTTCTTTCACTTTCTGGCTCGCCTTCCTCTTTGGACTCTGCCTCCCTCTCTGGCTCTCCTTTTTCATTTGCCTTCTCCTCATTATCTGGCTTTTCCTTATCCTTTGGCATTCCCTCATCTTCTGTCTTTCCCACGTTTCCTAACTTTTCCTCATCTTCCCGAGTATAAGCTACTTCTGGCTTTTCCTCATCCTGTGGCTGTTCTTCATTTTCCATCTTTCCTTGGTTTGAAGGCATTCCTTCACTTTCATTGTAGGGTTTCTCCATGGTGAGGTTTCCCGTGCTTTTCCTGGCCTGGGGTGGGTGAAGGGAAGAGGAGACAAAGAGGACACATGGGAGCCTGGAGGTGTGGGGTGGAATGCAGGTGCTGACAGGTCTTGCACCTCGCCCCTTTTGAGGGGTCCCCTTACCTGCCCACCCCTTACTTACCCCACCAATCCTCCCGCACACGTGAGCCAACCCTGCCACATCCTCTGCACTCCTTCGGCAGCGTGCAAGGTGTGCGTGCATTGTAGGGGGAGGGAGGGGACGGGCAGTGGGGCCCCCAATTCTGCCCAGGCCATGCCTCCACACTCTCAACCCTCTGGGTCCCGGTCCACGCCTCCCACCCTTTCACTGACCTGTAGAGACTCTGGACAGGTTGCGCCTCCTTGTCAGGCGTCACAGAGTGCTGGGGACAACAGCCACGCAGACCTGCAGACAGACGGGAGGCAGGGGCGGGGGCTGCGCGCTCATGGACTCACGCGGACTCGGGTCCCTTTCCTGATCCGGGCCCTCCTCACCGTCCTCACCCGACTGTTTCCACCCCTACCTCCCCCGCACCCCAGCCGCCATTTGTTCTCAGGCCTTGGGCACCAGACCACGATGCTTTCCAAACTACGCTTGTGTCTCTGTGTCCCCCGCTCCCGAGGCAACCTGCCCCATCCCCATCTCGTTTTCGCGGAGGCCACTATTACTTCATAGGCGCCGAGTGTGAGAGGGGGGCTATTTCCAGAATATGTCTACGTTTCAGTGTCGCACTGCGCCTCGGCCCCCCCGCCCCCCATCCGCATTTCATGCTCTAAAATGGACGGAGGGCTTAGGAGAGGGGGTTGGAAAAGGCGGGCCGGCGCCTGGGGGTCTTTCCTCTCTCTCCGCCCCCACCCGCTTCTCCCCCTCTCGCTCGGCTCTGCGTCCCCTCCTCACCAAGCTCCCGGTCCCTTCCTCCCCCCTCCCCGTTGCTCCCGGATCCTCCGGCCATCCACCTCCACCCCTGCCCCAGGTCCGCCGGCAGCGCTAGGCGTCACACTGACCTGCGGGGATCCGGGACAGGCCTACGCCTCTTCGAGCTCGCAGAAGCCCGCTCGCCGCTAGCCCGCCGCCCTGTCAGCTCACTGAGCAGGTTCCGAGCGGGCGCAGGGACAGGACCACAGGGCGGGCGCGGGGGCTGGTGCCCACGTCGGCTCCCAGAGGGTCACGTGAGCGCCGCGTCACCCAAGCTTGCCCGGCCCCCCCGCCCGACCCACCCCATCCCCCATCCCCAAGGGACTGGGAAGCTGCGGGCTGGGGGCGTGGGGGAGAGGGGAGTGCAGCAAAGGCGGGGATGGGAATGTCACCAAGAAGAGGAGGGGGAGGCTCTGACTTCATGTGCTTCACCTGGCGCGTCTCACCTACCACAGCATCGCTCAGATCCCAGTATCGCCGCTAGCCCGCCGCCTGGACAGTTCAGGAAGCAGGCAAGTGTACAGAGCTGCTGGGCAGGCGCGGAGACTGGTGCCCACGTTGGCGCCCAGCCAGTCACGTGAGCGTCGCATCACCCAAGCTTGCCCCCTCCGCTCCGCCCACCTCACCCCCTATCTCACCTTTCTCCATTGCCGAGGTACCGGGGTGGGGATGGAGGGATGGCAAGGAAGAGTCACCAAGAAGAAAAGGAGGAGGGGGAGGCTTTGTGACCTCAGGTGCTCTACCTGGCGCATCTCAACGCACAGAATTCCTCTCAGATGCCTGTTATCGCCAGGTGTGACAACTGATCAGAAAGAGTGCCTGACTTTGCCAAGAGTGCTCAGCTCCTGAACCTTAGAGCCCGTTTTCACGATCGGATCTGCCCGACTCCAGACCCCAGGTGTTGGTGCCTGTCGGGAAGCTGTGCTGCCACCTTGGGTGTTGGTGTTCTCCTGGCTTCTGTCCTGGGCCTCTTCTCTCCTTAGTTCACATATTCTGTCTCCCTGGGTGATTTTGTTCACTTCCCTCTAAACATCCATAACTCCCACATATACATCTCCAGGGTATTCCCTCCTTCCAAATTTCAGACCCGACTTTCTATTGGTCGTCACTGCCGGAATGTTTCTAAGAGATCTCAAAGTTCTTGTACCTCGAACTGATTCCAACAACTTCCCTCTCTCCATCTCTGTTGGCTTCTCTCCACATTCGAAATTTACCCTCCAGTATTTGACCCGTTTTTATTGAGAGAGAATGTCAGACAGCTAATCAAAAGAGCATTAAAACATCTTTTTTCCCTTTTTGTCTTTTTTACTGACCGGTAACGGGATCGCAACCCTCGGTGTCGCGCCCGCACCACGCTCAGCCAGTGAGCGGGAACTGGTCTCCACATGGGATCCGAACCCTCCACTGGAGCAGCGCCGCGCTCCCAAGCAGTGCACTCTCCAGTGTGCCACCAGGCCAGCCCAAAACATTTTTAATATTAAACACAAAACATCTTGAATATGTGAGGACATGTACAAATTTATCATAACCCCTGGTTCACAACTTACAATCGACTCCTGCTTCCCTTTTTTTTCGTTCTGCACTCTTCCCTTCACCTCCCTCCCTTCCCTTGTGTTTCTTTTTCCTTCACATTTGTGAAACCACCACCCTATTCACAAAACTAGAGAATTGTCAATATTTTAGTTTCTACAACATAGTGTCATTCTTATTTGTTTGTTTGTTTGTTTATTATACAAACACGTGAATGTATGCAGGCATACCTCAAAGATATTGCTGGTTACGTTCTAACCACTACAATAAAGTGAATATCACAGTAAAGCGAGTCACAATTTTTTTGGTTTCCCAGTGTATATAAAAGTTATGTTTATACTGCACTATAATCTATTAAGTGTGAAGTAACATTAAGCCTAAAAAAAAAGAAGTACATACCTTAATTAAAAAGAGTTTATTGCTAAAAATGCTAACAATCATCTGAGCCTTCAGAGAGTTATGATCATTTTGCTGATGAAGGGTCTTGCCTTAATGTTGATGGCTGCTGACTGATCAGGGTGGTGGTTGCTGTAGGCTGGGGTGGCCAAGACAGTTTCTCACAATAAGACAGTAATGAACTTTGATGCATTGCTTGACTCTTCCTTTCATGAAAAAATTCTCTGTAGCATGCAATTGTGTTTCAACAATGTTCACAGCATGTTCAGCAAGAGTAGTTTCCATCTCAGGAAACCAGTTTCTTTGCTCATCCCTGTGAAGCAACTCCCCATTCATTAAAATTTTATCATTAGATTGCAGCAATGCAGTCACATCTTCAGGGTCCATTTCTAATCCTAGTTCTCTTGCTCTTTCCACCACATCTGCAGTTACTTTTTCCACTGAATTATTGAACCCCTCAAAGTCATCAATGAGGATTGGAATCACCTTCCTCCAAACTTGTTAAGGTTGATATTTTGACCTCCTCCCACGAATAATGAATGTTCTAGTGGCATCTACAATGGTGAATACTTTCCAGAAAGTTTCCAATTTACTTTGCCCAGATCCTTCAGAGAAATTACTTTTTATGGCATCTATGGCCTTTTGAAATGTATTTGTTGTATAATAAAACTTGAAAGCCAAAATTACTACTTGATCTATGGACTGCAGAATGGATGTTGTGTTAGCAGGCCTGAAAACAGCATTAATCTTCTTGCACATCGCTACCCGAACTCTTGTGTGAACAGGTGCATCATCAATGGGCAGTAATATGTTGGAAAGAATCTTTTTTTCTAAGCAGTGTACCTTAATAATGGGCTTAAGATAATCAGTAAGCCATGCTGTGAACAGATGTGCTGTCATCCAGGCTGTGTTGTTCCATTTATAGAGTACAAGCAGAGTAGATTTTGCGTAATTATTAAGGGACCTAGGATTTTCAGAATGGTAAGTGAGCACTGGCTTCGACTTAAAGTCACCAGCTGCATTATTACCTAACAAGAGAGTCAGTCTGCCCTTTGAAGCTTTGCAGCCAAGCATTGACTTTTTTCTATCTATGAAAGCCCTAGATGGTATCTGCTTTCCGTATAAGGCTATTTCATCTATGTTGAAAATCTGTTGTTTTTGTGGCCACCTTCATCAATGATCTTAGCAAGATCTTCTTGATAACTTGTTGCAGCTTCTACTTCAGCTCTTGCTACTCCACCTTGCACTTTTATGTTATGGATACTACTTCTTTTCTTGAACCTTATGAACGAACTTCTGCTAGCTTCAGACTTTTCTTCTGCAGCTTCATCACCTCTTTCAGACTTCAGAGAATTGAGTAAAGTTAGGGCCTTACTCCAGATTAGGCTTTGGCTTAAACGAATGTTGTAGCCGGTGTGATTTTCTATCCAGACCACTGAAACATTTTTCATATCAGCACTAAGGCAGTTTCACTTTCTTCTCATTCATCTGTTCACTGGTGTAGCACTTTTAATTTCTTTCAACTTTTCCTCTGCATTTAAAACTTGGCTAACTATATGGCACAAGAGACCTAGATTTTGGCCTATTTTGGCTTTCAAAATGCCTTCCTCATTAAGCTTAGTCATTTCTAGCTTTTAATTTAAAGTGAGAGACTTTTGGCTCTTCCTCCTTTCACTTGAATACATAGAGGCCATTGGAGGGTTACTAAGTGGGCTAATTTCAATATTGCTGTGCCTCAGGAAGTAGGGAAGCCCAAGGAGAGGGAAAGAGATGGTGAACAACTGGTCAGTGGAGCAGTCAGAACACACACAACATTTATCAGTTAAGTTTGTCATCTTACAAGGATGTGGTTTGTGGCACCCCAAAACAATTACAAAGATCACTGATCACAGATCATGATAGCATATAATAATAATGAAAAAGTTTGAAATATTACCAAAATGTGACACAAAAACACGAAGTTAGAACATGCTGTTGAAAAATGGTGCCAATAGACTTGCTCAATGCAGGGTTGCTGCAAATCTTTAATTTGTAAAAAACACAATGTCTGGGAAGTGCAGTAAAGTTAAGCACCATAAAATGAGGTATGACTGTATATGTGTTTAAATATGTGTATGTGCATAAGTGTTGTGTAAATCTGGGCAACCACTGCTTCTATTTTGACCTGAAAAATACCATATCTGGTTTGCACAATTGTGAATTATGTGTGCAACATAACCAATATTGATTATATTTCTGCTACATGTTTTTTAATATATTAAAACATTGATCTTCCTACAACATTGTGCTCCACCAAAACGTGTATTCATATTATCACCATATAGCAAATAATTGTATCCTTACTGTTGAAATTTTTAATTGAATTCTCATGCTATTCATAACAAGGCTGGGTGTTTATCTTTCATCAATATAAACTTTCATAAAATTATTATTCCATGAATTTGATGAAAAAATATCAAATCACTGTTGAACTTAGCTGATTTTCTGTTTTAATTACCTGATGATACTTATTTTTAAGCTGTCATCAATAATTGTTTACTAAGTTCGTTTGCTAATGGAGCCAACATGTTAACAGCTATAACTTCTATCTTCAAACATGCATACAAAAACTTGGAATTCAAAATTAGTCTAATTAAATTAGAAGAAATGTCATTTTATTTAAATTAGAACTTCTATTCACACAATAAGAAATCAACACAACTTCTACTTCTGCATGTAGCAAATTGACACATTCTTCTTAA